GGACCCCCTAGATACAGAACCCGGCCCTTGTTGCTGCCAACTTAGATGGGCAGAAGGGTTACATTTTTTAAGTAAATGGCCTTTACCTGGTGTTCAAAAAAAGAAATAGTTACACTTTGTGTAAAAATTGATGTGGCTAGTGTTGTGGAAATTGAATTGTGGAGAGGATGTGCATTTTCCCCAAAACATGTGCAGTGTATATTGTAGTAGAGGTAAAAGAAATGCAAACCTACCAATATAGGTTGTATTGTCTCTTTCAGATCACTGTGTGTTTGAAAGCAGAAGTTAGAAGAAGTAAAAGGCAATCAAAAGTCTGGGAAAGTTAATTGTGTCCTTTTTTAAGTAAGAATCTTTAAGCTGTGGATAGCTTTGGATCTGGAAGCAAGCCAGAAAGCATCTGTATTAATGCAATTTTCTAACTAATAAGGTAGAAGCCACTGAAACCTGGGATGCCTATGAAACAAATAAAGGAAATATGGGGTAATTCCTCTGTTTTGCCTAAAATCAACAAGTGTATGTGTATATAAAGGAAATATTTTAAACAATGACTGACTGCCCAGAAGGGGTAGACCTCTGTTCTTTTGTCTTTCAGATCATTAGAGAAAACAGATGCCAGCTGAATAGCATTCAACGTACCATGCATTCACTGGCACAATAGGAATTATTTTTGTGTTCTATGGCCAAAATTGTTGTTAAAATTTGCACACCAACAGTCTTTGGACACAAGGACATGGAAGATTAACCCAGTCCCCATATTGCACATGGGATCCTTCTGGCTACCTCAGATTTCTATCCAGAGGGCTGGGGAGGGAGGAAAGCTATTGGACACTAGAGGTTGTACCGAGTGGACTCCTAAAAGTGGGTGTGCTTGTCCTGGTTTGTTGTTCCAAAGCTCTGTAATAAAGTTATTTTACTGGAAGGGTGTATATAGCATACATTGAATAATAAGAGTAATGTACTGTATAATGGCAATGTGTATGTGTTCATTGTTGGGAAAAGGTGTATGAGTGAAGAATGGAAGTTTCCTTTGTAGGTTAAAAGAAGCCAAAAAGAAGAAGGAAAAAGAACAGAACGAGTTAACTGGAAAAAATAACTAGAAAGCTCAGTCCAAAGATAAGATGCTGGCCCCATCCAAGGACACTGCCCACAGCTAAGACTTGGCTGACAGCCAAGAAAAGGGGGGCCTGAATGTGCCCAAGCAACTATGAGATCTGCAAAACAGTGCCAAGCATTAATGAAATGTGTTAAGTTTCTTTTCTCACAGATAAAAGAAGTGCTACCCAAAGACCCTAGCAGCCCCGACGTTCATTGAAACAAGGAGACTGAGTCTATGTAAAGATCCACCAACGAAAGACTGCTTTGGCTCCATGCTGGAAAGGCCCTTTCCAAGTGCTGTTAACCACCAACACTGCTGTGAAGTGCCAAGGACTACCTGCCTGGACCCATGCTTCTCACTGTAAAAAGACCCTTCCACCTTGGGAGGACTCTCCGACTGATAAGCCTATTTCTCCTTCTAGCTCGGCTGTGCCTTCTGGACAGCAGGAAAAAGGAAAAAAGACAAGGTGAAGTGCTAGTAACCTCTCCCTTGTCCACTGACAGACCTACTGTGCCTTTGGATTTTTCTAAAAGAAGCAAAACCATTACAGGGTGATGTGCTAGTAACCTCTCCCCGTATGATGCTGAACCATGACTGTTTCAGGAAAAGAGAAGAAGGAACACTTGCTCCATTGGAACCACCAAAGTCCAGGGATTCCTGCCTACAAGAATCAGAGGGGTAGCCGTGTTAGTCTGAATCTGTAAAAAGC